TAGTCCATGGCAAGATGTATTTCCTCAGCCTATTTTTCTAGAGCACTAAATTTCTCATTTGTCACATAGTTTTCAGTTACTTCTTACTTTAGAATAAATTCTGGGATAGTCAGCTCTAGCACGTTTTGTGATAGGGTATATTTTATCCATGAGTTTATGATTTATGTGTGTAGGGGGAAAAGACATTCATATGCATCAAGTCTAGCGTAGTTGAACTGACAGTATCATGGAGTTAACATTTAAACCTAATTCAAATACTGATATATAATTTTAAAATCCTATAGCCTGTGAACTTTTCCCAAAGTGTACCATTTTTGTTTTTTGCTGCAAGGGAAAGAAAAGCATGCTTAATGGCTCTTAAAATTGTCTGTGTGTTTTGTCCTTGCATGTGAGAATTTGTACCATTTAAAATAAACTATATATATGATAAGAATTAGAATACAAAAGAGTGCCATTATGAAAAAGAATAACTACTTCTTAAAGTGATTAATTGATAATTTATGGTCATAAAAATGAAAGATAGCAAGAGACAGGCTAGATCTCAGCAGGGTTGTTCCTGGCAAAGTATGTTATTATACTCTTGGGTTAGCTTCAATTATTTGGTGCTTTCCTGTTGTTGGAGAAGAGGATTATGCTTTGAAGAAGTCAGAGGAGGAAGTGCAGAGAACAAAAAAATACCAAATGACAGCTTAGATCAATCTTAATTTTTCATAGTTTGGCCTTCTCTAAAGTCACATTTAGCAGAAACATTAATTAGGTTTCAGTGCCCCACTGAGTTTTAAAGTTAAACATATTTCTGAAACCATCTGCAACACTTTATCTCTAATAATATAATGAAGACTATGCTTAGTTTTTTGAAATATGGGATTTATAACAGGATAACTTTTGCTCACAAATGATATTTTATTAGGAAAAAATCCACCAAAATTTTTATAGAGCTAAGAAATAATTAAAGAGTTTTTTTGTGTTTTTTTTTGTTGTTGTTTTAAAGTATATTTTACTGGTTATGCTATTACAGTTGGCCCAGTTTTTCCTCCTTTGCCCTCCTCTGCCTGGTACTCCTCCACCGGTACCCACCTGCCCTCCAGCAATGCCCCTGCCTTAGTTTTTGTCCATGGTTTGTGCATAAAGTTCTTTGGCTTCTGTATTTCCTATGCTGTTTTTAACATCCCTCTGTCTATTTTGTACCTACCAATTATGCTTCTTAATCCCTGTACTTTTGCCCCATTTCTCCACCTCACTGCTGATAACCCTTCAAATAATCTCCGTATCTATGATTCTGTTCCTGTCCTGCTTGTTTGCTTAGTTTGTTTTCATTTAATAGATTCAGTTGTTGATAGTTGTGAGTTTGTTGTCATCTTACTGTTCATAGTTTTGATCTTCTTTTTCTTAAATCAGTCCCTTTAACATTTCATATAATAAGATCTTGGTGATGATGAACTCCTTTAACTTTACCTTGTCTGGGAAGCACTTTATCTGCCCTTCCATGTTAAATGATAGCTTTGAAGGATAGAATGATTTTGATTGTAGGCCCTTGCTTTTCACCACTTTAAATAGTTCTTGCCATTCCCTTCTTGCCTGCAAAGTTTCTTTTGAGAAATCAGCTAATAGTTTTATGGGAACCCCTTTGTAGGTGGCTCTCTGCCTTTTTCTTGCTGCTTTTAAGATTCTCTTTCTCTTTAACCTTTGGCATTTTAGTTATGATTTGTCTTGGTGTGGTCCTCTTTAGGTCCAACTTGTTTGGGACTCTCTGTGCTTCCTGCACTCATATGTCGATTTTCTTCACCAAATTAGGGAAGTTTTCTCTTAATATTTCTTCAAATAAGTTTTCAGTTTCTTGCTCTTTCTCTTCTCCTTCTGGCAACCCTGTGATTCAGATGTTGGCACTTTTGGAGATGTTCCAGAGTTGTCTTATTCTCTCCTTGTATTTTTGAATTCTTATTTCTTCATTCTGTTCTGGTTGACTGTTTATTTCTCCCATATGTTTGAAATCGTTTATTTGAACCTCAGCTTCCGTCCATTCACTGTCGGTTTCCTGTGGGTTTATCTTTATTTCTCTTAGGATAGCCTTCATTTCTCCTGTTTTGCTTTTGTTGTACTCAATGAGTTCTCCGAGCATCCTTATCACCAGTATTTTGAACTCTGCATCTGATAGGTTGGCTATCTCTGTTTCACTTAGTTCTTTTTCTGGGATTTTGTTTGGATCTTTCATTTGGGCCATTTTTATCTCCTCATTTTGGCAGCTTCCTTGTGTTTGTTTCTGTGTATTAGGTAGAACTGCTTTGACTCCCTGTCTTAGCACACCTGTTAAGATGTATGGGGCGGAGCCTCAGGCTTTCGCCAAGGTAGGACAACCTGCCTCACTGCTTTGTTGCTCTGTATGTGGAAGAGGAGTCAGAGAAGGGGCCAATGCGAATGCCCGGCTGCGGGAGGCTTGCTTAGCATTCGTCCTGCCTCCAGTCACTTCACCCACTTCCCATATGTGAATGGCACCCCCTGTAGCTGTTGCCCTGATATTGGTTCCCAGTGTGAGTGGGTTTGTGTACATTCTAGGACTGTGTAGGTCCTTTAAACGGACCCTCTTGAGACAAACTGGCAGCTTCTTCTGCCACCCCAACCCCCACTGTTTTTTATAGCCATAAGTTATGAGGCTGTGTTTCCCTGGCGCTAGAGCCCTGGGCTGTGCAGTCTGCTCTGGGGCTGGGACCACTTACCCCTCAGGTATTCTTCCCCGTTTTTATCCACCACACGTGAGTGTGAGGCCGCCTGTTCCACTGTCCATCTCGCCACACTATGTTCTTTCCACTCCTGCTCCCCATCTCCGCCCCTCCTACCCGTCTGGATGAATATGGCTTCTTTAAATCCTTGGTCGTCAGACTTCTATACATTTCAGTTTTCTGGCAGTTCCTGGGGTTTTTTTTGTTTTGAGATTTGCTGTGATCCTTCTTATGGTTGTACAGGGAGGTAAAGTGTGTCTGCCTCTGCCTCCATCTTGACCAGAAGTCCAAGAGCTTTAAGAATATTCCCAAAAATAAAATTCTGCAAGATTATTCTGATTGGTGAGAATCTTTTCCTAAATTCAGGACTTTCTTTGGATTTTATGCCTCTTTTAAATCTAAAAATATTGGTGGGGGGCATATGCCATCTGCCTGTTTGAGGCTGCATTAAAGACAGTCAATAAGGAACTACTGCTTTCATCCGGAGGTGTGATTGCTTGAACTAGAGCAGGTACATGAGAGAAGCAAGAGATAATGAGGTGTGGGGCTAAAAGTGCAGGTCCTGAAACCAAGGTGCCCGACTTCAAACCTCCCCTTCAAACTTGAACTTACTAAATTGGGGAATTTGAACAAGTCACTTAACCCTTTTGTACCTCTGTTTTCTTATCTATAAAATGGGGATGACTGTGTTTACCTCATGGGATTGTAATGAGCATACATTTTGAGCATAAAATGTATCCTCAGAATAGTTTTCTTTCCTAGGTAGTCTTCCATTTCCATTGCTTTTTATTCATATGCTTATTATACTTACAGGAGCCTCCGGAAAAGAAAATTTGTGGGGATTGAGAAAAATGAACAAAATAGCAGAATCTTAGGTCACTTAGAAAATTATGCTGTGTTTTGTTCTCATGAAAAGGAAATGCTTAGCTAAGTGCCTACTCTGTGCCCTGCACTGTTCCGGGCAGTGGGGACACAGCAAGCACCCGAGCCTTCCTGGAGTGGAGTAGTTAGGGGAGAACATGGGTGAGGCATGCAGGCATCCTGGTATTGAACCCTCGAAGGAAACATACTTACCAGGTCACGGGCAGAGGTCCCTGCAGACTTCTTGGCTGAGGAGGGTGTTTTCCCCTCCCTCCCTCCCTCCCTCCCTCCCTTCCTTCTTCTTCTTTTTTTTTTCTTGAAAGGATGGAGTACAAATGTGCTTTCTGAGAGTTGTTGGGCTTCCAAGAAAAGGGACCAAGGTCCGTACACCTGGTTCTTTTTCCAAATTTACGAATCACCTAGTCACTCTACCACCTTAGGAGTGGGTAGGAGATTGGACAGCAGGCCTAGTTCCTTAGGCAAACAGTATCCCTCTCCTGGCAATCAAAGAAGTGAGGAAGAAGTACTTTCTGTACCACCTTGCCCATTCCACAGCTTGGCCCCACATTCCAATTTAGTGTGACATACAAGACTTAATGTTTTCATTCAGCCTCATCTGATACTGAATTATTTCAGAACTACATGTACTCATGCTTCTTAGAATATTTTTTCCCACAGTGCAGTTGATAAAAATCCTCCTAAGTCCTTTAATTCCTAATGTAGGGCTCATATTCTCCGATATCCCTTGGTGTATTTGAATACTTCTTCCACCATGACCTTACTCTTACCCCTCTGTCCCTATGTCATAGCCCCTGTCACAGCATATTCCCACATATGTCATCCTTAGCAAATGATGAACTTCCTTTTTTGGCAGGAACCATAATTTTTGTATAATTTTTCACTAGCATAGTGATAATTAAATACTAAGCACTCCACAAATCAATAAATATCAAATTCTTGTTGAAGAATCCAGCTCTGTCACTGAAAACATTAAGATGCTAGAATTGAGTAAAATGTGGGGGGGGGGGAAGAGAAGAGAATGGAATTTTGAAGTTACGTCTTTGTTGCTTCATAAAAGATATTTCAGAATATTAAAAAATTTCATTTTAGTTTAAATTTGTAGAATATACAGTCTTTTTTGGTGATTAGTTTAAGCGTGCTGGGAAATTTAAACAATTTCTTTCTCTTTACTTACCCCAGTGAAGTACCTCCTGTGTATCTTAACTTTCACTATGGACTACTATTGATTCAACTCTAAAGTTACTGATACAACTTTGAAAATGATAGGATATTTTCTATCTCATATAGCATAACTCTTTTAGCAGTCCTTTTTAGGAGCATTTTCTTGGACTTTTTTTTTTGTAATTTTTAAGTAAAGAAGCCTTGAATAAATAATAACAATAAATTTCAATTTTATTTTAGCAAAAGCACCTGGAAATTGAAAGAACTACTAAGTGGTTGAAAATGCTAAAAGGATGGGAAAAATACAAGAACACTGAAAAGGTAATAAAAGTAATGGTATTTCTTGATGAAACTATACAAGTTCAATGTTGGGTTTTCCCAGTAGAAGTTTCTCTTTTAGTTATCGGAATATTACATTCATATTCTTTAAAAGAAATTTTAGTTTAATTTACTGGAATCCCTCAAACTAGCGTCTTTATGTTATGACAGAAGGTCCAATTCAGATTGGTTTCAGCAATTAAGAAAATGCATTGGGTAGTCTAGAGGTCGGCTGGGTGTGGAGCGATTTAGTCAGCCACTCAGGTTGCCTGTGACAGTTTCTCTCTGCCCCTTTTCTGCCCTCTGCAGTGTTAGCTTCATCTTGAGGTTTTTTTCCCTTTGGGATCGCACTTCCTAATGCAGTTTTGGGCTTCGTACCCAGATGTCACACTGCTCAGGAAGAGAGGACTGGCTTCTGAAATCTTTCTCTGAAACAGGAGCAATCTTTCCAGAAGTTTCTAGCAACCTCTCCTTAAGTCTTTTTGCTGTGTATTGAGTTTGTGCTCAGTTTTAAACCAATTAAAAAATACACATCTATTAATATCATCAGAAGAGTCTTTAAATATTGATACTGTGAAGTTTGTGATGGCGAAAATTTCTAAAATTCTAATTTTGCCTGAAAGGTCAGATGTTATCAGTGGCACCAAATACTATCAGATATTTTCCTTCAAGTGACAGGCTTCATTTATTTTTGAGAAAATGTTGAATACCCAAATCTGAATAATCATACTTGTTTAGTCAGTCATTCTTTTGAGTAAAAAGATGTTCCATGAAGAAAGCAGTTGATTTAGATCATGATTCAAACAGTTTTGTAAGTACCTTTTCTTGAGGCCACCATTGTACTTGGGTAATAGTAAAGTGCTCTCTGTGTACTTCTCATGTCTTCACTCAGAATATTAATAAGATATGTATTCAAAGTTGAGATTTCATAAAATTTATAATTTCTACTGTTTCATCTCAAACAAAACTTACTTGTTTTCAACTGTGAGTGGAGAATACAGTGACCACTGGCAAAGCGCTGCTATGATTTGTGTCAAGGTATTAGTAGTTTTATGACCATTGCTTTTCTGCTCTTACTGCAAAAGTCAACAGAATGAAGAAAGCAACTAACATTTTAGTATCATTATGAGAACAGTTTTGACCTCATGGACTATGTTCTGAGAATGGCTGACATCTAAGTGTTGGTTTCCTGATAGTAAAATGGAGATAGTCATACCCATTTCAAAGGGATGAAAAGTGAACAATTAATGTGCATATAGCACTCAGCATGCACCGTGCAGAGAGTACGCTTTCATTAAATGTTAGCTACTGCTGTTAGTTTTTTGAAGGAAGTTTGGACAGTAAAAAAATATTTTTTTATGTAGGGAACATTAATGAAAAGTATATTGGTCATTTGAGGGAAATAAAACTCATCCATCATGTGCCAGGTGATTCCCCCATTGACGGAGAATTGTAATAGAGTAGAGTGTGACCTCTCTGGCAAACCTAGAAAGAAGGTAACACAGGTATAAAATGAATTGTGCTAAAAATGGGGAGAAAATTTTTTTTCTGTTTGTTTGTTTGTTTGTTTGAATTTATTTTTATTGATTAATGTCCTTTCCCAGATACGTGTACTAAAAGTCTTTCCTCCCAGGCATTGACTTGTCCTTTCACTTTCATAACAGCATCTTCTGAAAATACATTTTTAAAATTGTTCAAATACATTTGTCTCCATTTTCCTGCCACCACTTTCCTCTTCTCCACCTGCCCCCCCACCCCACCTCCCACCCTCAGTCCTTCCCCACTTGGGCTTTTTCCATCGGTCCTTTGTACATGTTCCTTGATTTGACCTTCCCCTTCTTTTCCCCATTACTTCCCTCCTTCCTTCCCTCTCGTTACTGTTGGGGTTTTTTTTCTTTCAGGGTTGCTGGTTATATTTTTCTTGCTTGTTTGTTGATTAGGTTCCACTTATAGGTGAGATCATATGTTATTTGCCTTTAACCCCCAGCTTATTTCACTTAACATAATGCTCTCCAGCTCTATCCATGCTATCGTGAAGGGTAATCCATAAATGACCCTGAATAGCTGCAGCAATTTTGAGAAAGAAGAACAAAGTAGGAGGGATCACAATACCTGACATCAAACTATATTACAAGGTCACTATAATCAAAATAGTCTAGTACTGACATAAGAACAGACACATAGATCAATGGAACAGAATAGAGAGCCTAGAAATAAACCCATATCTCTATGGTCAATTAATAGTTGACAAAGGGAGCAGAAGCATAAAATGGAGTAAAAATAGCCTCTTCGGTAAATGGTGTTGGGAGAGCTGGACATGCAAAAAATTGAAATTGGACCACCAACTTACACCATACACGAAAACAAACTCAACATGGATAAAAGACAAATACAAGTCACAACACCATAAAAGCCCTAGAGGAGAACATAGGCAGGAAACTCTGAGATATTCCATGCAGCAGTATTTTCACCGACATGTCCCCTATAGCAAGGGACATAAAGGAAAGAATAAACAAATGGGACTTCATCAAAATAAGAAGCTTCTGCATGGCTAAATAAAACATCAGTAAAATGAAAAGGGAACCAACCGTTTAGGAAAATATATTTGCCAATGATACCTCAGACAAGGGTTTGATCCCCCAAATATATAAAGGACCCACATGACTCCACTCCAGGAAGACAAACAATCCAATTAAAAAATGGGCAAAGGACCTGACCAGACGATTTTCTAAGGAGGATGTACACAGGGCCTAGAGACATATGAAAAGATGCTCGGCGTCACTAACCATCAGAGAAGTACAAATTAAAACCACAATGAGATACCACTTCACACCAGTCAGAATGGCCATCATAAACAATTTAATAAACAACAAGTGGTGGCGAAGTTGTGGAGAAAAGGGAACCCAAGTACATGGTTGGTGGGAATGCAGACTGGTGCAGCCACTGTGGCAAACAGTATGGAATTTCCTCAAAAAATTAAAAATGCAAATACCTTTTGACTCAGCAATTTCACTGCTAGGCATGTACCCTAAGAATCCCAAAATGTCTATTCAAAAGAACATACGCACCCAGATGTTGATAGCAGCACAATTTACAATAACCAAGTGCTGGAAGCAGCCTAAGTGCCCATCAGTAAGTGAGTGGATCACAAAACTATGGTACATTTACACAATGGAATACTACACAGCAGAAAGAAAGAAAAAAGGAATTCTTTTTAAAGGAAAAAAAATCTTCCATAGTTCTACAGCAAACACAACTGAGTTAATTATTAGGATATCTATTTCCTCACACTTTTTTTTTTCTATGTATCATTTTTCCTTTTTGCATAGATATAAATTGTTGTATGTCAGCATTTGCCAATAAGAATCCCAGGGAACAAAACAAGTTCCTTAGATTCCAATGAATATTACATAGAAATAGAATTGCCTAATGGTTAGCAGAAGACTGGAGCCAGGCTATCCTAGGTTCAAATCCCAGTTCTTCCACTTTATTAGCTGTGTGACCTGAAAAGTATTTTACCTTTTTGTGATTTAGTTTGCTCATCTGTAAAATGGGGATAAAATAGCGTCTACCTCTCAGAGTTGTTTTGAGCATTAACTATTAATTCATATAAAACACATAGAGTAGTCCCTGACCCTTAGTATGTAGTCAGTAAGTATTGCTTTTTACTACACGAGAAAAGGTTTGTCTGCTAAATAAAGTTGGGAAATTCAGAGCTAAACATAGTTAAACAATGTTTCTTTAGCATGTTAAAGTTAAGCACCACATAGTTAAGCACCACTTTTGAGAGTCTTTATTATTATTATATATAGTGGGAATTTTTAAGAGGGATCATAAATTACATGAAACTTATTTAACCACGGAAATCTTTTTGTCCTAGGGCATCTCAAAATACTAATGTCACTTTTCTTTTTGATCATCTTAAGTATGCTTATTTAAAATCTATTAGACTCTTATTTATTTTCATCAGGAGTGAGTTACTTGCTGATTTTAATGTATGTGTGTTTTAGCATTAGGTTCGAAGTCAAGATGTTTTTAAGAGGAATCAGTTCAAAGTAAAATATTAGTTACAATGCCTGTGCTCTTGTTTAATATTATGTTGTGTCTCTCAGATTGGCCTAAAGTTGACAACTATAGTTTACCTTCTGTCTTTGTGGAAAGATTTCTCAAGTGGTAATTACAGGATAAATTTTGGTGCATTGTACCTATACTTTAATCTCACATTCAGTCTAATAAAATATTTGTAGAGTTATATGGCTTTATGTTCTTGTCTAGTGTACCTATATCTATGATAGTATGTAAGCCTCTGTAAAATGAGCAATTCTACTAGGCTATTATTCTGCACAGCAACTCTGACTAATTTAGTTCCCAGTTAGAGAGATTTTAACAGGACTATTTCTTTGATGAATAATTTTAAAGCACTTTCTCACAACCATAATGCTGGAATTACTGGATGATATATATGGCCCATTTTGGTGTGAAACAGAACACATCTTCTAAAGGAATAGCTGCTTTCAAATTATACCTAGTTTTAAATTGCATTGAGGTAAAAAAAACAGCATGTATTTTTCTTCTCTTCCAAGAGGAGCAGGTATAAGTTTCCTTTCTACAGATCCCTTACTTATGGAGCAGTAATGCAAAGAAATTTATAGAAATATCTTGAAGCAAAAATACAGCCCTCATAGAGAATATTTGGATTTTTAGGATACAAGCTTTGATGAAAATGTTTCCATTAAGGCTGTTTGTGTTGCCCGTGTGTTCTCATGGTGACTGCCCCCTGTATACAATAGTATGTATTTTTAAAATATAGTCTATTAAACAAGGCTATCTCTGTTAAGTGGAACCCATTATAATTTAACTAGTCATGATGTGATTGTGTCTAAGCTAAGCCAAAGCATGGTACCTACTACAGATACATTTATTTTTTTTTCTTGATCAAATATAACTGAATGGATCTCTGTTGGTCAGATAACTAATGGACTAATATTAGTTTCACTAATGGG